GGAGAAGGAAGAATTCTGGCGGTGAGACCCAAACAAACAAGGGAGTATGAAGTAACAATGGAGACTGAAGATGACACCGAAATTTTAATAGACAAAGGATTGACAATTAAAGGAGTGAAATCTGAAGTACGGAGGTTACAAAACAGAGACTATGTTGTTTCGTTCAAGCATCTGCCTGTTTACCTAGCTGATGAAGAAATTTTAAGCAAGCTAGAGGGATGGGGAGTTTTCCCCATGTCTAAAACTAAAAGAAGACTGTATCCAGGCACAAGCATAAAAGATGGAACAAGGTTTGTAAAAAACAGATTTCCAGAAGAGACGGTCTCCCTACCATACAGTACCAAAATCGAGATGGCTGAAGGGGCACAGCACTTTAGAGTCATGCACACCAATCAGGTAAAAACCTGTCGACTACGCATGAGCTCAGACCATGTGATGAAGGAATGCCCAGAATTCAGGTGCTTCAAATGTGACGAAAGGGGACATTTCGCTAGGACCTGTACAGCTGTGTTGGGCCCGGATTGTAAATTGGCCCTAATACCTGCAGGGAGCTTGTCACGCTGAGTTGGCTTTGTCCGCTTGATTGACAAACGCATACACCTTGTTTTTTCCTTGCAGGCCTAACTTCGCTGGTGAAAGCACTTGTGGGGTTTCTGTAGTGTAGTGGTCATCACGTTCACCTAACACGCGAAAAGTCCTCGGTTCGAAACAGTGCTTTTCTTTTGGCGAGAAAATAATAGCATCCACTGTCGTCAACAGGCACCCAATCAAAAAGGGTTATCTGCTAGTTGTACTTCTGAAGGTTTCCATAGTGTAGTGGTTATCACGTTCGCCTTACACGCGAAAGGTCCCCAGTTCGAAACTGGGTGGAAACAACCTCTGGCTTTTACGACAATTGTCAAATCAGGCTTCAGTTGAGTACTGATGTTCACTGAAAACATTCTTTCTGCAGAGCGTTGTGAGGCTAGAAGTTTGAATTCAACTCAGTGTTTACCTCCCCTCGCGGTGTCGCAAACTTGCGTAGAATCTGATTTCTTTTAGCTTTGTGTTGTGCATGAGCAGGTGGCCAGTGCGTTTGCTGGCCCACCACGATGCGGACCGTACAAGACAGCTCTATAAAAAAAGACTATAAATACTTGAAGCAGCACTGGCCTATTGGTTTCCGTAGTGTAGTGTTTATCATGTTTGCATAACACGCTAAAGGTCTCCTGTTCGAAACTGGGCCGAAGCATACAATTAGTGGATACTTTTGTTCAAAGCGACATACAATAGTGGAGGTATTTAGCGATTCAACAAGACGAGGCAATGCATACGAAAAAGGGCTATATATTCCAAGTATTTTGTTTGTGCTCAGGGATTTTAGTGCTGGAGTAGGAGTGTCGTTTTCTTTAGAGAGAGGGATATTCACCGGGGTTCGGGTGTACTCTGAAGAGATGGGTGTTAGCTGTCGTTTGAAGGAGACCAGTGTATCCGTAATCCGAGTGGGAATGGCAAAGTGATTCCACCAGCGTAGAACATTGAATGAAAACATTGTGGAAAGTGACTTTCAGTCTCTCTGCGATGGCACCACAAGACAGTGCTCTCACCGTAACCGGAGGCTCCTGTGGTTATCACGATGGCTTTACAAGCGGAGGGTCTCCTGTTAGAAACTGAGAGGAAACATTCAGATTTGCTTTTACGCGCATTCTCAATTGGCTCTCTGCTCACTGGATGATGCACGATACAAGGTCGTGGATCTGTCAAATGTCATGACTTGACGTTGTACGAGGATTTGACAAAAAAATGCCCTGCAAACCTTAAAAATCAACACCATCCCAGGACAATTCTTTTGATCCCCTTTCGGTGCACTTGCATTAAAGCCGGCGTGATGCGGCGCTTTGTCAGTGTTACTGTATCATTCGGACATGGTGGCAGGGAGTTAAAGACTTCTGCCAGAGGGCATCGCCACAGGCTCGGTTTGTCAGAAGTGGGATTCGAACCCACGCCTCCAGGGGAGACTGTGACCTGAACGCCAGCTGCCGAAGAATAGTCCGACAATATTTCACAAATGTTGAAGATGAGAGCCAATCGGTTCGCTCCAACATTGTAGCCAATCACGTTGCAGCGCTTCAACATTTGCAGCCAATCGCGGACCGGAATTCTCAACATTTGACCAATCAGAGTCGAGACAATGTTGAAGCCGGGGGGGAGGAACCGTTCCAAGAATCACCGCTAGGTGTGCAGTCAAACAGGTTAGTCAGATGTCAATCAATTTTCCGAACTGAGCCGAAGGTACACGAAGGAATGACGCGGTCCTCTGGAGGCGGGTCAGAGGTCAAAAAAGTTCATTGACCAACAGTGATATTCAACGAACAGCATCATTCGACAGAGCACAGCATCGTTTTGCTTACAGTAAAGGATTTTTTCCGATAGTGATTTCTTAAAAAAGGTAGGAAAAACTACACAATTGCACGAATGAATGTTTTAGTGTGTTGTATTTCAAATTTGGATACTTTAATTCAAAACCGTTTAATTTATAGGAGAAAAATGTCTGAAAAATCTCATAAAGCCATGTCAGACGCTGACTGGATTTCACGTTTGAAAAAGTTTGCCAGCACAGGAGTTTGGCCATCAAATGAGGGAAACAGGCCAGCTCCTCGACAAAAAAAGTGGCATGAGATTTATCAAAGGGTGTGTATTTCGTTTACATGATATAACGTTTGTTGAAATTTGCTTAACAGAGTAACGTTAACTTGTTAGGCTTCAGTACATTCAGTACAGTATCTGTGTAAAACATGTCATACTTGTTTTTAAATATTAAAGTGTTTTAAATTGCATGTATTTTGAGATTTACGTCGAATAATTTAGTAAGTTTGACCATTTATGAGAGAGATCTGAAAAGGTGGGGGAAGGGATTATGAGTGTACAGTACACAGCATGTGGTTTTAAGGCCTGAAATGTTCCTGTCCAGTTCTTTTTATTCTTCTTTTCGTTTTTGGAGATACAAACTGTACGATTACATATTAGACAAATATTAAACACATTCTAGAAACAGTGGTAAATTAATTTACAGAGCTATTGTGTGCTTTATTAAGGGAGTCATTGAGTAAAAATTCTTATTTAGTTATAAAAGTTTTTTGTATTGTATAAAATTATTTAATATATCTTTCATGATTTTTTCAGATTGAGAAATGCCCATTGCAATCTCGTGGGCAGAGGACTTTGCTTGGAGGTGTGCTGAAATGCACATGTGGTTTTCACACTCAAAAGGTACATTTTTGAGTCAATATGTGTTTATTTTTATTTACTAGAATGCCTTTCCTTTTTCATGATTATATGTATTTTTGTGATTTATTTTCAGCAGAGTACTGCTTCTGCTGCTCCAGCTCAAACGGTGCAACAACCTGCCCCTACTGTACCTGCTCAGGAGGTGATGGAGACGAGACAACTTGAGGCCCAGCCCCAGCCCCCGTCTACTCCATCAGTGGCATCAAAGATTTCACCGCAATTGTCAATGGTACATTTTTTTAAAAATCAAAAGAAATGACAATTTCAGTGTTTCAAGTGTTCAAGGTGTTCAAAGTTCAGTTCAAAGTTCAAACATAGGAGAGAAAAGAACAAAAAGCAATAAAAAAGTTGAGGTGTTGCTAGAGACCTGCTTCTTTTCACACCTCTTGCACATTGGGGGGTAGCAGACACTTGCTGATTGGTCGGTTTGAGTTTCTGTGATTGGATTAAATGACATGGTCAGGGTCACTTTTTAAAGCTACATTTTAACCTCTTGTCTTCAGATAATGATACATAATAAACACTAATAGTAAATACTTTGTTTTGATTTTAAGTGTAAGCTAAAATTTGTACTTTTTCTAAACAAGGTCTGAGGTATTATCTTGAAAAAGTACTTATTTAAAAATATATATATATATTTTTTTGCTACCACAGGTATGATAATATTTTTTCTTCTGGGAGAAAATCTTATTTGTTTTATTTCGAATACATTTTTCAAGGTCAATATTATGAGCCTCTTTAAGCTTTTTTTTTTTTTTTTTTTTTTGCATAGTCTACAAAACAAACCATCGTTATACAATAACTTGCCTAATTACCCTAACCTGCCTATTTAACCTAATTTACCTAGTTAAACCTTCAAATGTCACTTTAAGTGGTATAAAAGTGTCTTGAAGAATATCTAGTCAAATATTATTTACTGTCATCAGGGCAAAGATAAAATAAAACAGTTCTTAGGAATGAGTTATTAAAACTTTGATGTTTAAAAAAATGTGCTGAACAAATCTTCTCTCCATTAAACAGAAATTGGTGGAAAAAAATTAAAAAGCGGGCTAATAAATCAGACTTCAACTGTATATAACACATAGTGTGATGTTGTAATATACAATGTATGTTTTTGTTGAAATGCATGATGTAATAATAGTACAATAATACTGTATATAACATAATGCAATACTTTATTCCTTTGGTAGTAAAAAAAAATATTTGTTTGCATATTGCTCCTTGATCCAGAAAACTATAATTTTAATCAAAGCCTAATGTGTGTTTATTTGCAATGAACCAGTTTAATTAGCCAGTCTAATTAAATCTATTCTAACTTATATCTTATTTCTACCTGTAAAAGTAGCAGAGGGTGGTAGTAAAAAACAGCTTGAACTCGAAACACTGTAGAGAAATCAAACTGATTGTACAACTGACATATAGAAAGATAGTTTCTAATTGCTTGAAATTTAATGTGATATACACTAATGTTCAAAAAATTATTATTGTTAAAAAATAAAAGCTTAATATTACTCATATTTTGCAAGAATTCTATTGTGTTTGATTTGCTCATAAATTAAGTAGATTTTATTTAATTTGAATTGTTTGAATAAATTATTCTTTCTTTATTTAATTTGCCTATATTATTATTTCACATTATTTCAGTTTTTACTAAATATTAGATCAAATAAATGTAGCCTTGATAAACATAATTATAGCATTAAAAAATACATTGAGCAGATCGCAAACCTTTGAACAGTAGTGTACATTTTGCCATTGTGAACACAGTGTTTTTAATGAAATGCTTTTTGTCTTGCCCTTTTTGAGTTCACCAAACCAAGATTTTCCGGATCCCACATTGCTGCAGCAAAGCCAAATCTTAGTGTGGCTAGAAGACCATCACAGGTTGACGTTCAGCCCAGTTCAGCAGTGTGTAGTGCTTCTACACCAAGCACGGCTGTAAGTATTGTCATAATCCACATAGCTTTCTGAGAGAATTTGGTACAAGCATTTGTTTTACGTAAATTCGTATTTTTATTAAGTACAGTCACATTAAATCTCAATAAAACATCTCTGTAGTATTCTTTTAGTGCATAAAAACATATATATTAAAAATAAGCACCATTCTTTAAACTTTTTGTTCTGCATAAAAGCGCTGTGACAAAATTTTACAGTTTAGCAGCAATCATTCATTTCCAATGTATTTTATACATTAATGTTCAAATAAAGTAATGGTTGCAAAAAATTCTGATTAGTTAATGTTACTTATAGATATATATTTACAAAATGCACTTTGTTATATTGCTTGTTTGTACAGACACAGGACCTTCAAGTTTCTGCCCCCGTCCTCACATCCACTACGGCAGTGACCAGTTCCACAGAGCCGTCCAGCATTGTCTCAGTAAGTAATTTCATATTTTCTGTCCAAAAAAAGGTAATTTGGTTTGCATATTTGATGCCCCAGCTGAATTCACACAAAGTGGTTTTAAGACCAGCCAATTAAATTGACTTGATGTTAATTAACTAAGCTTGATATATGTATAAATGCTAACAAAATAAAGAGAGGAAAAAATAAAGCAAAGAATCACAAAAATTACGCCTTCTGCTGTTGATATTTTATGTTCACAGTAGTAAAAGAAAAGAAAATGGATGGAAAAGAAGTAGAAAGGAAAAAGAGAAATAACTATATTGGAAAATACTTTTGCTTCTTTAAAGAAAATGTTTATTGGTGAAATTCTATTAATGATTTTTGGAATTGAAAAACATAATAAGGTATTTAAAAACAATCACTTAAAATCAAAGGTATTTTGATTATAATCATGATAACATCGTGTAAGGGTACTCACTCAAATATGTAAGGTGCATTTACATTACCAGACTAAAGGTTTTATCTATTTTCCTTCACAGACTGCACCTTCTGGGTCATGGTTGCAAGCTCCATCAGCTGTTCCACTTCCGCGCCTTTGGGCTGAAACCTTGCCACCAGAGGACCACAAGTGGATTGCCAGCAGGCTTTTTAAAATGGGGTCCAAAGGAAAGCCAGAGCTTCGAGACAACTTCCAGCTCTGATATTACCCTCCACAGCCTGCACTTACATACAATCAGGCTCCAGCTCCAGACAGATTTTTCTGTCATTCACTTTTGCTGTGGATGCCATACAAGCTGTGGAGGGTCAAAGTCCTTTGCCCTAATCCTGCATGTGGACAGCATCAGCTGACAGGTGGAGGTCTGCACAAAAGGGCACGGCAGGTTCTGGACATCGACAGGATGTACAACATGGTTACAGAAACCCTCATCTGTACCAAGTGCAAAGCCTCGCATGTGTCCTGCAGTCAGACTGTCTTGCAGCAGCTGGATCTTGGCCATCGCTCAGAGTTTCGGGTCATTCTCACACAGAAGTGAGTAATTGAACACCTTTATTCCTCGTGCAGTTGTTAACCTATCATTACAGATATATGAAAATACTTTACAAATTATATATATATATATATATATATATATATATATATATATATATATATATATATATATATATATATTAATATTCTTCTGTTCCTACGGTACGCCTGTGATATAAGAGTCATTCGCCTACTGCGTGAGCGTGGACTAGGCAACAGCCCCACAAGGGTCATCAAACAACTGAAGGAAAACCACAGTGAAGAGTGGCTCCAGCGTCTGGCCCGCTACACCACTCAGTGTGTGGATTTCCTCAGTGGACCTGGGGTGTTGGCGATCACCTTTCAGGAGCCCCCAGCACCTACAGTTGTGTCAAGCTGCAAGTGGCTCCTCACTGTCTACAGCCAGGACATCTTGACAAGGTTGAATGAAATCCATGCCAGGATAACATCAACCCATGGGTCCATCTTGAAGATGGATTCAACTAAAAAGGTTATTGGATATTCATCAATTTATAATTTCTTTATTATATTCCAGCATTGGTAAAAACCCTTTGTGTAGTCTGCTTGATCTGACGATACACCATGGTTCTTCTCTTGTCTAATCTAGATCACAAAAAAGCTGGCCGGGACAGCAAAAGGAACAGGACTCTGGCTCACCTCTGTTGGCAATGAGTTTGGTCAGGTGCTGATAAGTGTGCTCACTGCCCAGGAAGGAGCAGGACTGGACAGGATGGTGGATGGGCTGGTCAGAAGATACCAGGAGGCTGGTGTGGATCCACCTGCTGTTTTGTATGTGGACTGTGGGTGCTGCACTGATGTGGGTGAGACCAAACTCAAAGCCAGGTTCAGAGGATGGCCGGAGTTGACTGTGAAATTGGACATCTGGCACTTTATGCGCAGGATTGCTGTGGGATGTACAACTGATGCTCATCAACTGTATCCCATCTTCATGTCACGGATCTCTGCGTGCATTTTTGAATAGGATGCAGCTGATGTTTCTTTGCTACGCCAAGCAAAGCGAGCACTGTTGATGTCCCAAGGCCTGCGTTGACAGATGCTGATGTCAACAAGCATCTCACCAGGGAGGAGCTGGCTCTCCATTGCCGGAGGAGGACCCGTGGGGAGGAGACTACCATCCTTCTACTTGAACAGCTTCTTACTGAGCTCATGAGCAACAAGGGCAATGACTCGCTGGGCGTTCCTCTTTTAGACAAGGAAAGGATGAAGCACATCTGGAGTGTCCAAAAAAAGCATATCAAATGCATTCAGGACCCCCCTGGTGTCGTGCTCTATAATGAAACGGGGAGCATAACCAAGGGAGGTGTTCTGCTACGGACCTACAGATGTGCCAGGGGCTCCACGTCTCTCGAGTCCTTTCATTTACACCTCAATCGTTTCATCCCAGGTATGATTTTGCACAAACATTGTGTAAAAACGCATTAAATGTCTTAGTGTTTGTTTTTTGTTTGTTGCTATTGTTAATAAACCTGCAATTTCTATGTTCTCTCCATCTACTGTATCCAGTTTGATACAGTAGGTCAATGTTCATGAGCTTTGTGCTGTGAAATCTTTACTTGTCTTTAAATATTTGTGTAAACAAATTTTTTGTTTCATGACTATTTACTAAAGCAAGATACAAAATTATTATTACATTATTATTACATGTCATTATCAAGCATAATGCTACAAGCTTTGAGGGAAATTTATTTGTACATTTCTATGTCTTCGTTGTATTTCCATTGCATTTCATTAGATGTTTTGTCCAGAATATTTATTATGTTTTGGATCTCTGATTAAAATGTATGTTTTTGTTTGTTTCTTCCTTGACGTTTAGCTTTTAAAACTACTTGCCACTTCAACACCCAATCAAAAATGGCTCTTAAAATTTGTTTATTTATGTTTCATTTATTTTTTTCAGGTGAGCTCATTGGAGTGCAGTATCTGTTCCAGCAGACTGGTCAGGCACTGCAGAACATGAACCCAGACTGTGAGCAGACTGCTGAGCTCATTGAGGATCTCAATGTGGATGAGCGAGAAGAAGATGAGGGCTTCTGTGACATCAGTGAGGATCACACTATTGTTAATCCGGAGGCTGCTCTGTCACCATCCTTCTTATTGAGATCGGGTTCCTCCACTGCAGTCACCAGCAGTGTCGCTTCTTTGCCAGTCTCCACATGCCCTGCACTGGTCCCTGACCCACCTGCGCAGCCTGAAGAACCAATTTCACCTGTGCCCTTAGAGCCAGAAGAGGCTACGGAAGATGATGACGAAAATAATGATGATGACGACGATGATGATGGTGATGAAGAGACTGTAAGTCTTTACAATGATCTAGAATAATTTTGAAATAAAGTGTAAAGTCAAACACGCATCAGGTTTATTTCCGTAGTGCAGCTTCAACATGATAACAGAATCAATTATGGAATTATGCATTGAACAATTTAATGTGCTATTTTTTTTTTTTTGTGCTTTCATTAGGCTGTTGACTACCAAAATATTCCGGGCTTCCAGCATGTGGACAGGCTGGCTGAATATCTGGTTGAGCTTCGGACCCACAAAAGCCTCAGCCTCACCAACCAGGAGGCCAACGAGATTATTGGTCTTTGGCAAAGCCTGCATGACCAAGACAAGAAGCGGGTGGTGTATGCAGCTCGACACCAGAAGCGACTGCTGAGTGGGCGATTTAAAACACCCAAGAAGCCCACTCACACCCCTGGCATGGAGAGCACTACCAGATGTGTGCTGGGTGCAAGCAGTGCTCCTGCTCAGTGGCCTGACTGTTGCCGTCTTGTGGAGACCATCTATTAGGCTTTGTACCATCCACCCTAGTCCCAACCGAAAAGGCAAGGGAAGCCTTTCAAGATGGTCTCTGATCCTGCAAGACTACCGCAGGATTAGGCAACTCGTACTGGGCAACAGCTTGGTAATGGGAGGTACATCCATGCAGCTGGTTGAGGTAAACCTGAATACCCTGATTCAGTGGTTTAATAACAGACAGAAGAAGCAGGAGCTGTCTGTGCTGGTTCAGGGTATTCAGTTGCCTCAACACCTCCCAGAAGCCCAGGAACCTCTCCCAGTTGCCAAAAGTCTTCGGACAGAGCCAGACCAACCAGGAGAGCAGCACCAGTATGTGTTGCCAGAGAGCACAGCAGGTCAGGCAAGGCAGAGGCAGACATCTGTTGGACGACCCCCACTTAGACCCAAGGCACCAGTACAGACCCAGGTCATGTTTACACCACCAGCACCTGGAGCATCGCTGCAGATAGTACCCAACATATACATCCCAGCTACACCAGGGTACCAGGGTATGCCGATGTTTCAGGGTGTGCCAATGGTCCAGGGAATCCCTATGGCCCAGGGTATCCCGATGGTGCAGGGGATGCCACTCAGACAGCCACCACTTCAGCCAACAATGTCCAGTACCAGCTCACAGCATGCTGCATCACCGTCCACATCTGGAGCCATTCCCAAAAGACCGTACCGGCTGTTCAAGTGAACACTTGTAAAAAGTGTGGGCAGTTCAAAACAAATGCCACAGGCCATAGCCAACTCAGGGGCAGGGTGTACTGCCCACAGACTGAAACTTTGACTAAAGAAGAGTGGCTAGAGGAAATGAAAAGGACCAATCCAAAATAATGTGTTTGTTTGTTTGTGTATGTATATAGTGTAATAGTTCTTCAGTTCATTCAATTTCACTTGCTGTTAGTTTATATTTTTATTTCACATTTTCTTTAAATAGTGTATTTATTTTGCTGACTTTTTATTTAACTTTTATATTATTTATGTGTGTGTGTGTGTGTGTGTGTGTGTAGTGTTTACAGTTTATAACCATAATAATTCAATTTATTCTATTTCACTTGTTGTTTTTTTGCACATTTTACTTTTTAATTATTTATTTTGTTAACATTTTATTTAACTTATTTATTATTTATATATGTGTGTGTATTTATATAGTTATTAACCATAATAGTTCTACAGTTTATTCTATTTCACTTGTTGTTGGTTTCTATTTTATTGCGCATTTTATTTAAATAGTGTATTTATTTTGTTAACATTTTATTTAATGTATTATTTATATATATATGTGTGTGTACAGAGTGTATGAAGTTTACTACCATAATAGTTCTTCAATTTATACTACTTCACTTGTTGGTTTCTATTTTATTTCACATTTTATAAAAATAATTTATTTTGTTAACATTTTATTTAACTGTTTATTATTTATGTGTATGTCTATAGTTTATACAGTTTATAACCATAATAGTTCTTCAATTGCCTTGTTTGATTCTGTTTTATTGCACTTTTTATTTAAATAGTTTATTTATTTTGTTGACATTTTATTTAACTTATTTATCATTTATATGTGTGTGTGTGTGTGTGTGTATGTATAAAGTGTATACAGGTTACAACCATAATAGTTAAATTTATTCTATTTCACTTATTGTTGGTTTCTAAATTTATTCAACATTTTATTTAATTTGTTAATTTTGTATTTATTCTGTTAATATTTAACATTTAATTTTTTTGATTTTTTATTCCATGTTCATTACTGTTTTGTTGACCATTGTTAAATAAATATTGCATTAATAAATGACTGATCCTTGACTTTTAAGTCCACTTTGTGTCGGTTTCTGTTTGTATTTAACTTTTTATTAACATTGTTTATTCATATTGTTAATACTATATTATTAATAACTAATTTATTATTTTTACATTTTCTACTCTATATTCATTAATGTTCTGTTGACAATTGTTAGATAAATAATGCATATATAAATAACTGACTACTTGACTTTTAATTATATATATACACACACACACACACACATACACACACACACACACACACATATATATATATATATATATATATATATATATATATATATATATATATATATATACATATGTATATATGTGTGTGTGTGTGTGTGTGTGTACACTATATACTCTATGAGATTTCTATAGATCATTTGTACATCAAAATACAGAACAAAAATAACCATAAGCCTAACAATGCTACAACAACTACTAAATAATGATTCATTCAAATTGGTATGCTTTAATTTTCATTAAAGAATGTCAAAAAACACAAGAATAAAGTGCTTAGGCATATTTTATTTACCTTGGAGCATTACACATTCAAACAGTTTATTGAGTAATAATAAACCAATAACAATAAAGCGTCTTTAGCTGGATTCGAACCCCGGTCTTGGTGAGCACCTGCAATAGAAATCAATGTAACTCAAATTGCGTTGTTTTAACTCAAAACAGTATCACTATGCGTGACATAAAGCAGCTGCAGGGAAGGCATGTCCAGGAAGCTTAGTATTCACCCTTTCCTTTCTTCTTTTTTTCTTCCCCCCTTTCTTCCCTTCTTTGTTGAACGATTGTTCCTCAGCTTAAATGCAGCACCTTAGACCACTCGGCCATCCTGACATCCCTGCTTAGCCTGAGCTGTCTCCTAGCATCCACACCGAAGCACCGTGACATGGAAGCTGTTGTTTCACAGTTTGCCCAGGTCCAGAAGTATGCCTTGTTGACGCAGTAGGCAGTGTGTCAGTCTCATAATCTGAAGGTCGTGAGTTCAAGCCTCATACGGGGAGGGTGCTGACTTTTGGCACATGGAAGCTCTTAGATAACTGGGCGGCATTTTTTATCCCCTTTCATGTGGATTATGCTTCCCCGGGGCAAAAAGAGCTACAGCTTCTCTGGAGGCCTGGCGGTGTGAAGTTCCAAGAACATTTCCTGAGTCAGAAGCAATGATGGTAGGATGCTCCCATTCCTATCACGTTGTCGCTTGACGTTCGGCGTGGATCTGTCAAATGTCATGAATTAACGTTGTGCGAGGATTTTGGCTTTTGGAGAACTTTGGCGCAACGAGATTGATGCGGTGCTTTGTCAGTGTTACTGTATCACTCGGCCATGGTGGCAGAGAGTTAAAGACTTGAGCCTGAACGTGTTGCCAAAGATTAAGTTTGTGAGAAGTGTAATTCAAACCCACACTTCCAGGGGAGACTGCAACCTGAAGGGAGCACCTTAGACCGCTCGGCAATCCTGACATGCTTGCCTGATCCAAGCTGTCTCCTAGTATCCACACCGCAGCACCGTGACATGGAAGCTGGTGTTTCACAGTTTGCCCAGGTCCATCAGTCTGCCTCGTTGGCGCAGTAGGCAGCGCGTCAATCTCATAATATGAAGGTCGTGAGTTCGAGCCTCACACGGGGCAAGGTGCTACTTTTTGGCACTTGGAAGCGCTTAGATGACTGGGCAGCATTTTTTATTCCCCTCCGTGTGGATCATGCTTCCCCGTGGCAAAAAAAGCTACAGCTCCTCTGGAGGCCTGGCGGTGTGAAGTTCCAAGAACATTTCCTGAGTCTAAAGCAATGATGGTAAGATGTTCCCATTCCTATCACATTGTCGCTTGACGTTCGGCGTGGATCTGTCAAATGTCATGAATTAACGTTGTGCGAGGATTTGACGAAAAGTCCTGCGAATCCCATTGCCTTAAAAATCAACGGCATCCCAGGACATTCCACTACATGGCATTCTAAGACAGTACTTTTGATCCCCTTTTGGTTCACTTGCATTAAAGCCCTCGTCCATTGTTTTGTTCCCATGCTTTTTCGAGTTTTTGTGGACAATACCTTGATCGCAAACGCCTTAAAACCAACAGTCTAAAGAGCCCATTAAGGCTGCCAGGGACACTGCTAGGGTGCATAAACTTTGACGCAAAGAGATTGATGCGGTGCTTTGTCAGAGTTACTGTATCACTCTGACAAGGTGGCAGAGAGTTAAAGACTTTAGCCTGAACGCGTAGCTAAAGATTAGGTTTGTCAGAAGTGGGATTCAAACCCACACCTCCAGGGGAGACTGCGACCTGAACGCAGCGCCTTAGACTGCTCGGCCATCCTGACATCCCTGCTCAACCTGAGCTGTCTTCTAGCATCCACACCGAAGCACCGTGACATGGAAGCTGGTGTTTCACAGTTTGCCCAAGTCCATCAGTCTGCCTCATTGGCGCAGTAGGCAGCGCGTCAGTCTCATAATCTGAAGGTCGTGAGTTTGAGCCTTACACGGGGCAAGGTGTTAGCTTTTGGCACTTGGAAGCGCTTAGATGACTGGGCAGCATTTTTTATTCCCTTCCGTGTGGATCATGCTTCCCCAGGGCAAAAAAAGCTACAGCTCTTCTGGAGGCCTGGCTGTGTGAAGTTCCAAGAACATTTCCTGAGTCTGAAGCAATGATGGTAAGATGCTCCCATTCCTATCACGTTGTCGCTTGACGTTCGGCGTGGATCTGTCAAATGTCATGAATTAACGTTGTGCGAGGATTTGACGAAAAGTCCTGCGAATCCCATTGCCTTAAAAATCAACGGCATCCCAGGACATTCCACTACATGGCATTCCAAGACAGTACTTTTGATCCCCTTTTGGCTCACTTGCATTAAAGGCCTCGTCCATTGTTTTGTTTACATGTTTTCCCGAGTTTTTGTGGATAATACCTTGATCGCAAACGCCTTAAAACCTACAGTCTAAAGAGCCCATTAAGGCTGCCAGGGACACTGCTAGGCTGCATAAACTTTGGCGCAAAGAGATTGATGCGGTGCTTTGTCAGTGTTACTGTATCACTCTGACAAGGTGGCAGAGAGTTAAAGACTTTAGCCTGAACGCGTAGCTAAAGATTAGGTTTGTCAGAAGTGGGATTCAAACCCATGCCTCCAGGTGAAACTGCAACCTGAACGCAGCGCCTTAGACCGCTTGGCCATCCTGACATCTCTTCTTACCCCGAGCTGTCTCCTAGTATCCACACCGAAGCACCGTGA